AAGGCTTCCTAGCAAGGGGGAGATGTGAGTGGTGGAAGGATATGTGGGGTCTTCCAGAAGGTTCCGGGAAGGCTTCCTAGCAAGGGGGAGATGTGCGTGGTGGAAGGATTTGTGGGGTCTTCCAGAAGGTTCCGGGAAGGCTTCCTAGTGGGGGTGAGATGTGAGCGGTGGAAGGATGCTTGGGGTCTTCCAGAAGGTTCTGGGAAGGCTTCCTAGCGGGGGTGAGATGTGAGCGGTGGAAGGATGTGTGGGGTCTTCCAGAAGGTTCTAGGAAGGCTTCCTAGCAAGGGTGAGATGTGAGTGGTGGAAGGGTATGTGGGGTCTTCTGGAAGGTTATGGAAAGGCTCCCTAGTGGGAATGAGATGTGAGCAGTGGAAGAATATGTGGGGTCTTGCCAGACAGAGACAAGGAACAGGTGTTACACATAGTGAGCGCAGCATGTCCTGAGACACAGCACACAGTAGTCAGCAGCCCATTAAGGGCACGAGTGACGGAGAGTTGGTGTGGTCAGATGGGGCAAGAGAAGGCTGGAGGCAGGGGGAGTTGGGGAGGACAAGGCTGGACAGGCTCCCATCTACCTGGAAGAAAGACCCTGCTGAGCAGTGGGGGCTGAGCTCAGGCTGAGTCAGCAGGTCCGCAGCCAGGAATCTCCCAGGCCCAGCTGAAACTTAAAACCTTCTAAGCTGATGTGGACGGGGAAGTTTGTGTCCTGTCTGCCAAACATGGCCAGAAGCCGGTGGATCAGGAAGGGGCTTGGGGAAGCATTGAGTCCTGTTGACCTGCAGAGGCAGAGAGCTTGAAATGGCCTGGAACTCTCTAGAGCCGAGGCTTGGAGCCTGGGCTAGCTCACCACAAGTGTGAGGAAGGCTGCAGAAGGGACAGGGACCGCAAACTTAGAGGCGAGGGGCAGCTGCTGAGGGGCCGGCGGGGGGAAAGGACCAGTTCCCTCACTGTGCAAAGTGGGGACTCAAGAGCAGTTGTCCAGTGTGATGGATTGAGAAAGTAGGGTTAAGGGCAGCGTTTACAGCCACAAATGTGCCAGAAGGAGAAGGGGGGAAAGTACGGTAACTTCCAGAAATCAGGACGGGGGAGGGAGGAGGTGTGGGAGGGAGGAGCTGAAGTGGGGACTTGTGGAGTTGAGGAGCCTAGAGGAAGGCGGAGGTTACCACTGATTGTCACCGAGCGCCTGTTACATGGCGGGTGCCATGCCAGCCGTCACCTGGGAGAATTTCAGAAGTGGTTTCCGAGTTTGTCAGAGGAACTGGAGACTTCCTTTAATACTGTGGGGTGAAGAATTTAACTTCTCCCGAAGAATCTGGTCTTTGTCCTTGGTTCCTGAGAGAGAACCTCTAAAACCTTGGAATTTCTCCAGTAGTTGGGCATCTTTGATGAGGCCCCCAGACCGCACCTGAGGGTTTATGCTAATGAGTGACCGAGGTAGGGGCTGGCCAGGCCCGTGTGGCACACTTAGGAAAGTACCTCGCAGGGGGCAGGGCCAGGGGGAGGGCATGGTTGGCAAACAAACGTAGAAAGTGCCGTTATTGGCGTAAAAATACAGTAATTGAACAAAGTTAATGTTACCAGGAGACAGGAGACCTTGGTATGAAGTGCCCAGGCCACCCACCTGGAGCAGGTCACCAGGGCCTCCCGAGAACATATGGGTGGAGGCGGCCCAGGGCATGAGGTGCTCGGAGCCTAACCCTGACCTGGGTCTCCTTCTGATATCCTCAGGGGTGCAGGTGGCCGAGCGCTGGCAGGACGTCCTGCCTGTGACCCAGAAGCACAGCCGTGACCACGTCCTGCTATTCAATGACGCCCACTTGCTGATGGCCTTCCTGGGTGCACGGGATACCCGAACCACGCAGGAGCTGCTAACCACACTGCAGGAGGCCAGCGAGTACGCAGGGGGCTGGAGGGAGCTCTGGAGACATACCGAGGCCTGCTCAATGCTGCTCCTATCCCGGGAGGAGGCTGAGGGGCCAGCCTGGAAGACAGGGGACAGCAGTGATGGTACCTGACCCGTGGTGTGGTCTGTAATCCTGACAGCTTGGCCAGGAGGGCACTGCTACGCCCGCTTCACAGATGGGCAAACTGAGGACAGAGCTGGGGCCCCTGGCCAAGGCCCGTGGGCTGGTGGTCTGCAGAGTGTAGCCCAGGCTGCTGCTTCTGTCATCTCACCCCCTCAAAGCACCCACTGTGTGTCGGGCACTGTGCCAAGGACCCGCTGGAAGCTCGAATCGGGCAGGAGGACAGAGGGCCGGGATGGGGCCTTGGAGGGCTGAGGGCAGCTCTCGTCTTGACAGGTCGCCGGGGGGAAGCCAGCAGCACCACCTGGCCCGCGACGTGGGGCTGCCGCTGTGCCAGGCCCTGGTGGAGGCTGAGAGCGGGAACGCTGACCGTGCCGTGGAGCTGCTCCTGCCCATCCGCTACCGGATCGTCCAGATCGGAGGCAGCAATGCCCAGGTGAGTCGGTGGCCCCGAGCGGTGGCACCGCCGGGGCGTGGGCCCATCAAGGCCCCGGTGCCCACCACCTCGTGTGCCCACTCTCTGGGAGTGTCCTGGTCGGTCAGCCCCACACACCGGTAAATTCTGGGGTGAGAGGGTGCGGTGGCAGCACCCTGTCTCCCTTGGGGTGGGCAGGCCTGCAGCGGGGCCCTCCTGTCCTCGGCCCACGTGACGGAGCCTCGCTCTCGGAATTGGCATTTCAGAGAGACGTCTTCAACCAGCTGCTGATTCACGCGGCCTTGAACTGCTCCTCCAGCGCCCACAGACACGTGGCCCGGTGAGTCCCCGTGCTCAGCGGCACCCCCACCGCTCTTTTACTGGGTCTCCCGTGGCCCACGGAGCTCCCAGCTCCCCCGTGGCCTGAGCTGGTTCCTGCTTTTGAGGCTGTGGAGACACGGGCTACACGGGTGTCCGGTTCTCTTTGTTAGCGCAGCCTGACCCAAGGGAACCAACCTCCCGCACCCTCTGAAAAGCCACGGGCCAATCTCCTCCCCCCAGGCCCCCCAGCCTGCTCCTCGTCCTAGCCGTGCCGAGCAACGCTTACCCAAAGGCGGCCTGCTCGTCAGGTCCCTGGGCCTTTGCCCGGGATGCTCCTCTCCTGTGTCACCTGGGCCACGCCCGTGGTCCTCTAGGCCCCAGCACACAGTCTCCTTCCTGCCCATGCAGGGAGCCGGGAGACCGTGGTGAGCTTCTGTCTGGTGGAGGAGCTCCCTCTAAGCCGTGAATCACACAAGGTCATGTAAACGAGCTACTGATGGTTGCAGTGAAGGAGGGCGGGCGAGAATGAGGCCAGGGTGAAAAGTCAAGTCCGGGACGTGCTGGTGGCTGGGACGGAGGTGGAAAGTGACTGGTCAGGGAAGGGCCTCCATCCCACCCAGTTCCTGCCCCTATCCTTAGCATGGGCAGAAGGGCATGGGTGCGCTGGGTGTGCTCGCCAGCACCCCTCTCCAGCCCAGCCTCCTCCCTGCTCCTCCAGATGGCCCCACCCTCTTGCCAGCGCTTGCTCGGCACCCAGAGCCCACATTCCCTGCGTGCGGCTGTCGGGGTGACGGTTGCCCCTCCAAGCCTCCTCCTGTCCCCATCTCGCAGTACCTGGGGGCTGTCCACACAGAGCAGGACCACCCCCTCCTCCCGCCTGCAAGGTGGGCAGACCCCAGCCGCATAACACCCCCCAGTCACTGTCACGTTTAGGGTATTTACCTCAGACTGTCCCTGGGTGGCGTTTTGAACCCAACTGGAGGCACCTTGGAAGAAAGGCCTGGTGACCTCCTTCCAAAAAGTCAGCCACTGAAAACCCTGTGGAGCACAGTTCTACTCCGCGCACGTGGGGTCACCACGAGTCAGAATCAACTCCATGGTAGCTGGCTTGTTTTTGTTTTTTTGTACCTGTTTTCTTTTTTAAACTCAGGGTTTTTTGTTGTTTTTTTTTTAACCCCCAAGCCAGATCGCAGCCCGCCTTCTGTTCTGCCATCTGCTCTTTTTCCAGGATGGCCTCGGGCGTGGGTCCCCGCTCCTCTTGGCCCCAGCATGGCTCCGTGGGGGGAGCGTGAGCCCTGAGTTCCTGACGCACAGCGTTCTTGAGGCGGAGCCAGCGCAGGGGCACCCTCACTCCAGTTCCTGTCACTCACTTAGCTACCGGGTCTCCAGCTTTTGTTTTTAAGAGATTGTCAAATTGCTCTCCAAAAAATAGATGTTCCGGTTACACTTCGACCTGCAGTGTGTGGAAGCTGGGTTCAGGAAGGCTATGATTTCTCATCTCACACCACCTCCCCCACCCAGACACCCATCTTCTCTCGGTTCTCCCTGCCTCTGGGCCCTAGCCTGGTCTGTTCCAGTCTGTTCCCTCTCCTCTCTCCTCACTGAGGGGGACCCACCTCCAGCAACCTTGGAAGGGGGCTTGTTGCTCTTGGGCCTGCCCTGTCCCCCAGTCCAGGCTGCCAGTATCTGCCTTGGGGATGAGGACCACCATGTCCCCACCTTCTAGGAGGTTCCCCAACAGAACCTGTCTGTTTGCACAGGAGCCTTCTGATGGAGCGTGATGCCTTGAAGCCCGGCTCGCCCCTGACCCAGCGGCTCATCCGCAAGGCAGCCGCCCTCCACCTCATGCAGTGAACGGGCCTGGCCACCTCCGCCAGCAGAACCTCAGCCACTTCCCGGGCTGTGAAACCCACTTCCGCCTGGAGTAGAAACCAGTGAGAGCTGGGAGGGCTGCTGGCGGGCAAGCTCAGCATCAAGCAGAAATCTCTGTAAACCAGCAGTTTTACAGAAAAAGGGGACACTGATTAATTTTACACGTGATTGAGAATCTTCCTCCAGTCCTTGTTGAGGTGCCAGTGTGCATTTTAAGCAATCAGAGACGATGGGGGTCCTGCTGTGACCACTTGCTTTGTGACCTTACACCCCCTAACTGTGGTGGGTGGGGGGAGTTGGAAGGCAGGGCAGGCTGGGGCAGGCTCAGCTGGGGCAGCAGAATCTACCAGCCTAGCCCCTAGCGGTAGCCACCCCCCCCAGGCTGCCCGAGGTCACCCGCCTGGAACTGTCTTCATCTCATCCCAGGAAGGTCCTGTTGGCCTCTCTTTCAGGTGATGGTATCAATGGGAGCGAGGTGACTTAGTCAGGGTCTCGGCTAGTGAAGGCACCACTAGGATTTCTTCCTTGGGGAGAGGAGCCTGCGTCGCTGCCCTTGGCCTCTGCCTCCAGCTGCTGGACTAGCTTCTCTCCTATAGAAGTACAAACCCATGGGGTGGCTCCTCCCACAATCTGGAGGAAAGTCAGTGTGGGATGCTGATTTGGGCTTTGTCGTGGATTGAATTGTGTCCCCACAAAATATGTGTCAACTTGGCTGGGCCATGATTCTCAGTAATTTGGCAGTTGTGTAATGATGTAGTCATCCCCCATGATGTGATCTGCTGTGATTGGCCAATCAGTTGTAAGAGGATTATGATGGGATGCAACACCCTTACTCAGGTACAGCTCTGTTAATGAGATATGATTAGGTTATGTTAATGAGGATTAGGTTGAGAGGCAACACCCTTACTCAGTGTCTTAGGCTGGGTTTTCTAGAGAAACAAAACCAGTAGAGCGTATAAATATATAGAGAGACATTTATATCAAGGAAACAGCTCACGCAGTCATAGAGGCCAAAATGTCCTAAGTCCGTGGATCAGGGTAGAGGCCTTTCCCAATTCACAGAGCCATGGAAGCTGGTGAACCTAAGGTCGGCAGGTCGGAGAGGGGCTCCCACTCACAGGCTGTGAAGGTCAACGAACTCCAAGATCGGCAGACAAGACCGCAGAGCTTCTCCTGATTCAAGAAGCTGCAGGGGCTGGTGAACCCAAGATCAGCAGGTTGGGGAACCGGACTCTTGCTCGCAGGCTGAGAAGATTGACAAATTACAAGATCAGCAGGTAAGCTTCTAGCTCAAGTCCCAAGAACGGGAGGTGAGACAACAAGAGGCAACTGCTCAGTCTGGAACAAGCTAAAAATCTTGGCAAGGTGAGCAGGCCGAAAATAACTGGCGGAAGGCAGAGAGATGAAACTGAGGGGGCGGTGAGCTGCCACAGGCCCCACCTCCACCAGTACCACTCAGCAGATTGCATCATTGGGGTGCTCATGTATCAAGTTTCAACAGGGAAGTGATCACAACATTATACAACTGCTAAAACACTGAGAATAATGGCCTAGCCAAGTTGACACAATCTTAACCATCACAGTCCATCCCTTGTCAACTTGGCACCTGTACACATCTCCTGAAACCATACATGATCCCTGAATAAAGATAATTACAAAGTCATACTTGTGCCTAACATGCTACAACTAACACGCGTACAATTGAAAACGCACTAGCCCTGTTTACATCTTATACGTTATAGGTAAAAGAAACAAAAATATCAGATGCACAGATACAAAACAGAAATACTCAGCAATTACAGTCCCCGTTTCTGCAACTGGTCACGTGGCCGTAACTGGTATTTAGAACTACCTTCTTCTACCACCCATTCGTATTCCCTTTGCCCTCAGCAAGCACCTCAGCTGGGCGTGGTTCTTTGCCTGGTAGGTTAACCCAAATCTCCATTCCTGAGGGGTCTGGGCCATTAGTAGTCATGTCAGAATTGGGTTGCTGTAGTTTTCCATTGACTTTAATCGCAGGACATGTTAGTACTAAGAGACGCCCTAAAGGATCTCCAGCATTCCAGACGTACTCTTCTTTACCTCCATTATGTAATATCAGTCTGATTTCCTCTTGGTAATCAGGTTCAATGACACCAGCCAGTATGGTAACTCCATTCTTTACCTGTTGATCCAGAGGCATGAGGAGCCCAAAGTGGCCAGGTGGCATTCTTAGCTTCCAGTTCAGTGTAATCAGTGATGTGTCTCCAGGTGGGAGCATTCCTCCCTTTGGAACTAAGACCTCTAGACCTACAGAGCATAAGGTTGCAGGAACAGGAAGCAAAAATCTGGCGAGTGGGTCACTAGGGGTAATAGTGGTGCCACTCCCATTTCCACCGCTTGATTCCTGGACCCATGAATCCTAGCTATGGGAGAAACAGCACCATATATTGGACGCTGGTTTAGAGCATATACAGCCTCCTGGAGAACATTGCCCCAGCCCTGCAAGGTATTGCCATCTAGCTGGCACTGTAATTGTGTCTTTAGAAGGCCATTCCATCCTTCTGTCAAGCCAGTTGCTTCAGGATGATGGGGAACATGGTAAGACCAGTGAATTCCATGAGCATGGGCCCACTGCTGCACCTCATTTGCTGTGAAGTGAGTCCCTTGATCCGAGGTAATGCTGTGTGGGATAGCATGATGGTAAATAAGGCATTCTGTAAGTCCACGGATGGTAGTTTTGGCAGAAGCATTGCGTGCAGGGAAGGCAAATCCATATCCGGAGTAAGTGTCTATTTCAGTAAGGACAAAACGCTGCCCTTTCCATGATGGAAGTGGTCCAATGCAATCAACTTGCCACCGGGTTGCTGGCTGATCCCCTCAAGGGATGCTGCCATATCGGGAACTCAGTGTTGGTCTATGCTGCTGGCAGATTGGGCACTCAGCAGTGGCTGTAGCCAAGTCAGCCTTGGTGAGTGGAAGTCCATGTTGCTGGACCCACGCGTAACCTCCATTCCTGCCACCATGGCCACTTTATTCATGAGCCCATTGAGCAATGACGGGAGTAGCCAGGGAAAGGGGATGAGTGGTTTCCACAGAACGTCTCATCCTATCCACTTGATTGTTAAAATCCTCCCCTGCTGAGGTCACCCTTTGGTGAGCATTCACATGAGGCACAAATATCTTCATTTCTTTGGCCCATTCAGCGAGGTCTATCCACATACCTCTTCCCCATAAATCTTTGTCTCCAATTTTCCAATCATGTTCCTTCCAAGTCCCTGACCATCCAGTCAAACCACTGGCCACAGCCCATGAATCGGTATATAATCGCACATCTGGCCATTTCTCCCTCCAAGCAAAGTGAATAACCAGGTGCACTGCTTGAAGTTCTGCCCATTGAGATGATTTCCCTTCACCACTGTCCTTCAGGGAGGTCCCAGAAAGGGGCTGTAAGGCTGCCACTGTCCACTTTCTAGTGGTGCCTGCATATCATGCAGAACCATCTGTAAACCAGGCATGAGTTTTCTTTTCTTCAGTCAACTGATCATAAGAAACTCCCCATGAGGCCATAGGTGCAGACTGGGAGATGAAAGGTAATGTGACAAAGAGTGTAGACCATGGGCATTTGGGCCACTTCCTCATGCAACTTGTGCCTTCAGGTCCTGCTCGGGCCCAATCTCGTATATACCACTTCCATTTAATGATGGAGTGCTGCTGTGCACATCCAACTTTATGCCTCTGTGGGTCAGACAACATCCAGTTCATGACGGGCAGCTTAGACCACGCGGTGACTTGGTGGCCCATGGTTAAGCGTTCAGTCTCTACTAAAGCCCAGTAACAAGCCAAAAGCTGTTTCTCAAAAGGAGAGTAGTTACCTGCAGAGGATGGCAGGCCTTTGCTCCAGAATCTTAAAGGTCTGCACTGTGATTCATCAACAGGGGCCTGGCAAAGACCCCAAACAGCATCTCTATCTGCCACTGACACTTCAAGCACCATTGGATCAGCTGGATCATATGGCCCAAGTGGTAGAGCGGCTTGCACAGCAGCCTGAACCTATTGTAGAGCTTTCTGTTGTTCTGGGCCCCACTCAAAACTGGCAGCTTCTCGAGTCACTTGATAAATAGGCCAGAGTAACACACCCAAATGAGGAATATGTTGCCTCCAAAATCCAAAGAGGCCCACTAGGCACTGTGCCCTTTGTTAGCTGTGGGAGCAGCCAGTTGCAATAACTTATCTTTCACTTTAGAAGGAACAGCTGGACACTGGACCCTAGAAATTTCACTGAGGTGGAAGATGCCTGAATTTTTGTGGGATTAATTTCCCAACCTCTAGCACACAAATGTTTTACCAATAAGTCCAGAGTCATTGACACTTCTTTCTTACTAGGTCCAGTTAGCATAATGTCATCAATGTAATGGACCAGTGTGATGTCTTGTGGAAGGGAAAGGCGATCGAGTTCCCTGCGGACTAAATTATGACATAGGGCTGGAGAGTTGATGTAGCTCTGAGGTAGGCAAGTGAAGGTGTATTGCTGGCCTTGCCAGCTGAAGGCAAACTGCTTCTGGTTGTCCTTTGAAATAGGTATGGAGTAAAAGGCATTAGCCAGATTAATAGCTGCATACCAGGTACCAGGAGAAGCATTAATTTGCTCAAGCAATGAAACTACATCTGGAACAGCAGCTGAAATTGGAGTCACCACTTGGTTAAGTTTTTGATAATCTACTGTCATTTTCCAAGATCTATCTGTTTTTTGCACAGGCCAAATAGGCGAGTTGAATGGGGATGTGGTGGGAATCACCACCCCTGCATCCTTCAAGTCCTTAATGGTGGCAATAATCTCTGCAGTCCTTTACTATTTTTCCTAGGTAGGGGAAGTTCTAATGGCTTCCACTTGGCTTTCCCTACCATAATAGCCCTTACTCCATTTGTCAGGGATCCAATGTGGGGGTTCTGCCAGTTGCTGAGTGTATCTATTCCAATTATGCATTCTGGAACTGGGGAAATCACTAAAGGATGGGTTTGGGGACCCACTGGACCTACTGTGAGATGGACATGAGCCAAGACTCCATTAATAACCTGATCTCCATATGCCCCCACTCTGACTGGTGGGCCACAGTGGCTTTTTGGGTCCCCTGGAATTAGTGTCAGTTCAGAGCCAGTATTCAGGAATCCCCGAAAAGTCTGATTATTTCCTTTTCCCCAGTGAACAGTCACTCTCGTAAAAGGCCGTAGATCCCTTTGGGGAAGGCTAGGAGAAAGATTAACAGTAAAAATTTTTGGCCTTGTATTGCAGTCCTTCCTCAAGGGGACCCAGCCTCCCATTCATTCAAGGGGTTGTGGGTCTTGAAACTCGCTCAAGTCTCGGAATTGACTGAGGGATTGTGACTTTCTATTCTGGCGATTTGAGTTAGAGTGCTGTTCACCTGACCTAGAATTCATCCGTTTGTACAGATCAAGTAACTATTTATTAGATTTCCCATCTGTTTCACTCCTAGGGACACCATGACTAAGTAGCCAAAGCCATAAATCCATACGAGTCAGACTATTTTGATTACAGCCTTGACTCCACTGTCCATTACTGTAACCATGCCCACCTCGTCTTTGTCTGTCGACCGAATGCAGACACTTGGCCCCTACTACCACAGGGTCTAACAGCCCCATTGTAGTTAGGTGTCTTAGTTAGGGCAGTTCCCACTGTCAAATCTGATTTACATAAAATAGCAATCACGGCAGTCTTCAAGGATGCTGGAGCTCCCTTCACAAATTTGTTCCTCTGGACACTCCATGTGTGGGTCTGTGGGTCTAACCTGATAAATCCACTCTAGCATGCCAATTTCCCTAAACCTATGGATACCTTCTACAGTATACCAAGGCAGGTCTGGCACTTCAGCTTGATTCAGTGTAGGCCACCTTGTAATCCATGCTTCAGCGACCCAACCAAACTGTTAGATCCTTTCCTAACTTCTCGAGCTGAAACATTGAATGAAGACTCTGCTTAGTGGACCCATATCAATAAACTCAGATTGATCCATCTTTACGTTCCTTGCACCATTATCCCACACCCTTAATGGCCATCCCACACATATTCCCCAGGTTTCTGTTTGTACATATTAGAAAACTCAAGTAGTTCTTTTGGAGTGTAGCGTACCTCCTCCTGGGTCACACTCTGTACTACACCTTTTGGGGCTCTCTGGGACTTAAGTCTAGTTATAGGTCTAGAAGCTA